TTTCCATTTCCTGGGGGATCGGGTTGGTAGTGTGTTGCCACCGGTGTATGATCCACCCGAGGGTGGCAAATCCACGTCTTAGCCTACTTGCGGGTTGCACCATCAAACCATTTTCAAAGAAACAAGCATGGAATGTTTTGTTCCAATTCAGGCGATCCAGTCTATACTTGTATGCTGTGTGCATCACATAGTAATCTAGGCTAATAACCGGAATAAGAACACATAATGTTTTCTAAAATATATATCATGGTTAGTAGAGGCCGATCTTTGATCGGGCGAGCGAGGGTGCTCACGAAGTGACCTTCCCCAATCGTACCCAAGTTCCCGAGCCGAGGCAACTTTGGTGATGACGGGCACGTGGCCTTAAGCAAACGAGTTAGGGTTTCCTAAATTTCCCCTAAAATAAAATATTTAGGTGGCGACTCTGTATCTGGCAAAGCAGTCCATGTTTGGCACTTCTTTCAAAAAAATCTGTTTTCGCAAAACAATTTGCCCGATCTGGACTCTTTGGTTCAGATTTAGAACCGTGACAATTTGAGAGTCCTGAGCTATAGTGAGCCCAATATCGAACGGAACAGGGGACTCGTTCCTCCCGGGGGCGTTCGGGGACGTCTACAACCGACTTCACACCCTTCGAAACAAGTGAAATCCATCACCGCAACAAACAAGGATAGAAATTTCGAGGAGAGTTTACGAATCACCACAAACCCAAAAGATTAACAAGACTCTAAGTGAAACTTGACACACTAACAAGGCAAAAATCGAAGTTAAACAAAAGGAACAAGACGGATAACATACCGGGTCATCACAACCTCCCCACCATAGGAAATTTCGTCCTCAAAATTTTGACCAACTAAACAAACAAAGAAGTCTAGCAATTTCAACTACACTACCAAGATTTCAATTAGCAACACCGACATTCAATCAACGCTTATCATGTTCATCATCATTATCACATCAAGATCGACAATTGCTCATACTAGACATATGATATAAAACATGTTTAGCAAAATATCATTCCTTTACAATCTCATGCTCAGATTAACAACACATTCAACATATAACACCATTTTCCTTTTAACACAAAGGAACATTACAAATTAAAACAAATAACTAAGTATGCTCAAATAAATTTGGATACTTGGAGCGAACTTCCGCCTCCCGTTCCCACGCCGTTTCTTTAACTCCATGGTGCCTCAACAATGCCTTTACTAATGGTACAGTCTTACCCCGTAACACTTGCTCCCGAGTATCTAGGATTTGAACCAGTTGCTCTTCATAGGAGGCATCCTCATCCACCTCCAAATCAACCCAATCTAGCACATGAGAAGGGTCGGGTTCGTACTTCCTAAGCATTGACACATGAAGAACGTTGTGGACCCCGAAAAGTTGTGGCGGTAAAGCTAACCGATATGCCACTTCCCCAATTCTCTCCAATATCTTGAAAGGCCCAATGAACATCGGAGATAACTTCCCACTCTTGCCAAACCTCATCAAACCCCGCCTAGGTGAGATCTTAAGGAAAACATGGTCACCTACTTTGAAAGATAAGGGTTGTCTCCTCTTATCGGCATAACTTTTCTGTCGGCTTTGGGCCGTAGCTAACCTCTTCCAAATAAGAGCAACTTTCTCGGTTGTCTCCCTAACAATTTTCAGACCCAATAATGGTGCATCACCCACCTCGGCCCAACAAACTGGTGATCTACAAGATCATCCATACAAGGCCTCAAACGGTGCCATTTCAATACTAGCTTGGTAACTATTGTTGTAAGCAAACTCAATCAACGGTAAGTGCATATCCCAAGACCCCTTGAAATTTAGGACACAAGCTCTAAGCATGTCCTCTAAAATCTGGATAGTACGTTCCGACTGCTCATCGTTTTGAGGGTCATAGGCGGTGTTAAAAGTCAACTTGGTTCCCAACGCCTCTTGAAGGCTTTGCCACAACCGGGCGATAAAACGAGAATCCCTATCCGACACAATGGTTACTGGAACTTCGTGAAGTTGAACTATTCTCTAATGTACAACTCTGCCAAGTGCTTAACTGAATTGCCAATACGTATTGGAATAAAATGCGCAGACTTAGTCAACCTATCAATAATTACCTAAATGGCATCATTGCCCCGCTGTGTTCTAGGAAGCCCAACTACAAAGTCTATGGTAACGTGCTCCCATTTCCACTCGGCTATTGGTAAGGGTTGTAACAAACCCACTTCTCTTTGACGTTCGGCCTTCACTTATTGACAAGTGAGGCACTTTGACACGAAGGATGCAACATCCCGCTTCATACCCCTTCACCAAAACTGACGGCTAAGGTGACGATACATCTTGGTGCCTCCCGGGTGCATCGTAAGGCATGAGTGATGGAACTCCCAAAGCACTTCCTCTCTACAGGATTCAGGCACAAACAAATGGTCTAGGTAGTGCACACTCTAATCCGAGTGAATGTTCAAACCCTCTCTTCCCGTTAGAGATTCTATCATGAATTAACTCTGCTTCACAGTCTCCTTGTTGCGCCTCTACAACTTTGCTAATCAAGATAGGTTGAGCACTCAAGGTAAACAAAGTTGCACCCTCTTCGGACTCACCCAATTGCAATTCAAACTTGCCGACTTCGCCCAGCATAACCCACTCCCGAATGGCCACATTCGCCAAACTACTCACGGATTTTCGACTTAAGGCGTCGGCCACTACATTGGCCTTTCTTGGATGATAGTGTAACTCGAAGTCATAATCTTCTGAAAACTCCATCCACCTTTGTTGACGTAAATTCAAATCTTTTTGAGAAAACAAATACTTTAGGCTCTTATGATCGGAGAAAACTTCAAACTTCTCACCATACAAGTAATGCCTCCAAATTTTCAAGGCAAACACTACTGTGGCTAACTCTAAATCATGGGTAGGGTAATTCTTCTCATGAGTTTTCAATTGCCGTGAACCGTACGCTACAACCTTTTCCCCCTTGCATCAAAACATAACCAAGCCCATCCCGAGACGCATCACAATAAATGGTGTAACCCAAACATCTCTCTGGAATGATCAACACCGGTGCCGTAGTCAATCTAGTTTTAAGCTCTTGGAAAGAGTTTTCACAAGCCTCACTCCACACAAACTTAACCTCCTTTCTAGTCAACCTCATCAAAGGCGCGACTACTCTAGAGAAATCCCTCACAAAACGCCAATAGTACCCCGCCAATCCCAAGAAACTTCAGATCTCAAAAACATTTTTAGGTTGCTCCTAATCTTGTATAGAGTATCTTCGAAGAATCTACTGTTACTCCCTCTCTTGACACTACATGGCCCAAAAACTTCACCTCGGTGTGCCAAAACTCACACTTCTCAAATTTGGCACACAATTGATGCTTCCTAAGCAGATTAAGCATTACCCTCAAATAAGCCTCATGTTCCTCCTCGAAAGTTGAATAAATTAGGTTGTCATCCACAAAGATGACCACAAAATAGTCCAAGTACTCCCTAAAAATTCGGTTCATCAAGTCCATAAAGGAAGCCGGTGCGTTAGTTAACCCAAACGGCATTACAAGGAACTCATAGTGGCCATAACGCATACGAAAGGCCATTTTCTAGATGTCCTCCTTTCGGACTCTCAATTGGTGATACCTTGACCTCAAATCTATCTTCAAAAAGCAACACGAACCTCTAAGTTGATCAAATAAGTCATTTATTCTGGGTAAAAGGTATTTGTAACTCGATTCAACTTGTGGTAATCGATGCACAACCGCAACGACCCATCATTCTTCTTCGCAAAGAGAGCTGGTGCTCCCCAAGGCGACGTACTGGGGCGAATGAAGCCCTTGCCTAAAAGCTCTTGGAGTTGAATCTTTAGCTTATGCAACTCCGCGAGTGCAAACCTATATGGTGCCATAGAAATTGGTGTCGTTTCAGGAACTAAGTCAATGGTGAACTCAATCTCCCGGTTGGGTGGCAAACTGGCAAGGTCCTCGGGAAACACGTCCAGGTATTCACAAACTACCCTTGGCAACTCAACTCGAGTCCCGTCACTCTCACTATCCAAGAGAGTAGCAAGAAGACCACTAAGCTTGTTCCTACTATGAGGATCAAATACTGGAAATAAAACCCAATCAACCTTGTCTCCCAGAAAGTAAAAAAAATCACCACTCGAGGTGCACACTGTGACCCTCTGACGAAAACAATCAATCACTGCTCGATACAAAAACAGCCAATCCATGCCTAGAATGACATCAAAACTCGACATGTCTAGCAACACAAAAGCAAACGGGAGTCTACGCCCGGCAACCTCTATCTCATAACCACGACACCCCCGATCTAAGTCAACTGTACCCTCAACTGGTAACTCTACTTTGAGCGGAGACGCTAACTGTGCCACTTCTAACCCCAATGCAGATGCGAATGCAGCAGAATTGAATGAATGAGACGCACCCGTATCTATCAACACAATAGCCAAAGAATTACACACGATAAAAATACCTCTCATAACTAAGGATCCTGGCAACTACTCTGGCACGGTCACAGCGTACATGCGCCCCTGTGGCCTCTGATTAACCTACTCATCCCTCAAAGCATAGGCCTATTGTACTGACTAAGCCGAAGCGGCTTCTTGATGAACTTATGAAGTTTGAGCTGAGTGAGCCTGCTGGTGGCTCTGAGTCTGCCTCGACCCCGATGCGCCAGATGTGCCTCCCAACTACGGGTAAGCTCTCTTCATATGCCCTGACTGACCGCACTAATAGCAAGTAGGCCCTTGCCCTCTACTCTGAGACTGAATCTGAGATCGGTTAGGGGGTGGTGGTGGCAACATTTACTGTCATTCTCCCTTCTGCAGACATGCAAAGGCCTTGTGACCCGGTTGGCCACACTTGAAGCAAGAAAACCCATTCGGTGTACTCTTTCTCGGGCCCACACTAGGCAAGGGGAAAGTGGATCTAGACTGTTGCGGCTAGGACTGGGATGAAAAAGTGTTTCTACTCTTCTTTTTGGGCCTATAGTCCCCCCTGTGGCCCTTAGCCCTTAGACCTCAAATTCTGAAGTCTCTCCGCCTCGGCCTCCATGGTAATCTCCACATGTGCGGCCACCTCCACAAGACGGTCACAATTCTGAATCATGTTCCCAGCAACCTTGAACAAGATCTTAGTTCTCAACTTCTTCTCAAACTCAATGCAACAGCACTCTTCCGTCGCCACCAACTCCGGTGTAAACTGGGACAAACTAGAAAAGGCCGTTTCGAACTTAGCAACGGACATGTTAAGTTGCTTAAGGTCTTGGAACTCCTGCCTCAACCTCTCCCTAGTAGTGGGAGGTAGATACTTGTCTTTGAAGGCCACCACAAATGCCTCCCATGTCGGTTCTATTCCGTCCTTGGCATACTTCCACCATTGCCCTGCCTCCCCCTTGAGATAGTAACTCGCGAGAGTCACTCTAAGCTCACTGTCTTCTATGTGAAGCATCTCGAATGTCTTCACTATCTGTTCAAGCCATTCATTTTCTTTCTTGGGCTTGGGGCCACCATGGAATTCATCCGGTTTGGCTCGCAAAAACTCCCTCGTGAGGAAGCTTGCCCTTGTCTCCATGACGTTCTCCCTAACTTGGGTCTCTGCCCTAAGTATGTTTATGGACTCCCTCAATGCCCTCGCCATTTCTCGGGCTAGGGCCCTCATTGCAGCTTGACCTGCTTGCCCCGGTATTTCCGCTTGCCCTACTTGCTCGGCCATGTTAGCTTGGCCTAAACCCTCTTATTGCACCAAAACCTCATGGACCGGTACCCCATGCACACCCCGACGACCCCAACCATGCCTTCCACCTCTACCACCACGAGTTTGAACCCTTCCTGACATCCTAAATAAGGAACAAGATAAACAACTTAGCACATAATTCTAAATGTGCTTGCAACTTGCCTTAAACGTTAAATTATAACAATCACATATATTCTATCACACGAATAATTCAATTCACTCCACATAAGCACTTAGTCACATAAACACATACGAATTATCCTTTAGTGATGAGATTTGTCCCATCAAAAACCAAGAATTCTTAGTAGAATGAGTATTGATCAAGTACCCTTCTAATAAGACCTCAAGAAATTTAATCGGCACAAATAACATCCCAAAAGTCTAATCCCATACCCATATAGTCACATAAGCATGCTATCACATATCACAAATAAACAAAACATTTCCTAATCATGCGAAATGAACCCATTGTGGCATAAAAACCACTTCCCGCGAGCCCCAAGTATTCAAACCAGGTAGCTCTGACACCAAGTTGTAACGCCCGAAATAATTCAACATAAACTAACCACATCAACTAACATTCACTAAATAATGACAATAAACCTTCCATCTTTACATGATCAATGAACAAGCATATATAAAAGTTTCACATGCGGTTACACATTCAATGGTGTGAAAAACACATGAATCTATAGCATGTGAAGCATCTAGTGCTAAGTAATTAAAATGCCCATAAGGGCTTACATCTTCCAAGGCAACAGCTTGGTTACACAAAATGATCTCTCGAACCCATACATGTTTAGCCCTTGGCTTACGAAAATTTACAACAAAATAAAAGAGCAATCTACTCTTCACAAAATATATCCACACCCTCAACTCGGCGGGATCACCACATCTTTACCTGCACCAAAATCCCATAGGGGCGAGCATAAAGCCCAGTAGAGAATCCTTACAAAGTATATAAAGTTATGCAAATTTGCCCAACATTAAATGCAAATGTAATGCCATGCAAATGCCATTATAAAGAAGAATTTCATTTCATGCACTACTTGAAAATCACCATGTTTTTCAATAATATTTTGCAATCTCATCAATTTCAAAACTTCCAATTTTTAATCAATAGGGGTGGTAAATATGACACAGGTAATCCCTAGGTTGGTGTCTGCAGGTAGGCTCAACAAGCACTACCAATAACCCCACTTTACCGGTTGCTAACCGGAAGGGAAGTGGTACCTCCTCCATGCGTGTTTTCGGTCTTTCATCCCGGAGACTCAAGCCAACTCATCAATTCATCTACACCTCCTAACTGGACTTACAAACATATTTACCCCATACACATTTTCGTTGTTTTCGTTACCAAATATATATTCCTTTCTTGAAGTAAATGTTTCCAATCTAAATACACAATGCATAATAAGTAATTCCATGTGAATGCAATGCAATGTTCTTCCATGCCTCATAGCATTTCTTCAATTCAAGTAACTCGACAACAATATCAAATAAATACGTTTCTCATTTCCTCTCTTCAATGTTATTTCACAAAATAACCATATGTCATTAACTCATAGCAACAACAATTTCTCATCATGCACAATTCATAACAAGTTAACCTCTTCAAGACTATATGTGATGTTTTCAACATTAATCCCCAAGATTTACAATTCCCACAATCCATAGTACACACCAATTTGCCACTTCTCAACTATCCATGCTCATGTATTTAGTAATAATGTTAAAATAATTCCTCATTGCTCATATATCAAGAAGATTGTTACTTAACAAAACATATGATAAAATCTACTCTCCGTCATTCATTGAACACAAGAAAGAAAGAAAATCCATAGGATTTGTCCATATGTCCCAAAATCCCCAAATTTCTAGGGTTCATTATCAAAAACAAAACATTTCCCCATTTCTTGGTGAACCCTACCCAAAAACATCTTTTTTAGATTAATAAGATGAAGCCCTTAAGGATTGATTTAGAAACTTTTGAAAGTTTAAAACCCTCTTTTTGAAAAATCTCTACACTCTTGAGCCACAAACCCAACTCTCAAAATAAATTCAAGAGAAACATATAACAACATTTAATCTTGCAAAACATGTATATATAACTCAAGAATGTCCCTACCTCAAGGTTTTGGAGAAGAAAGAGATAAAACCCTAGGATGCCAAGATACCCAAACTCAATCTCCACCGCACACAATGAAGTTCTTGAGGAGTTTTCAATCTTTGATGAAGGAGCCAAGGTTGAATCTCAAATGGATGAAAGAAAATCAAGGGTTTTGATCTTGCTTTGAGGTAGAACTGTAGAGAGAAGGGAGAGAAAGGTATTTTTAGAGAGAGAGAGAGATATAAACAAAATGATATACAAATGACCCAAATGAAGAGAAAAAATAGAGTTTTCGGGCTGTGTCCATCCCGCACGTGCGGCACGAGCCCCCTCACGTGAGGAGCCTCCCGCCTTCCCGTACGTACGGCCTCCAACCCCGCACATGCGGCCATCCACTTCTGCACCTGGTTCTGCACTTGCATATATTGTAGTGTGCTGAGCCCACACCTCCCTTGAATTCCGCCTGTGCGGTCTAGCCTCCCGTACTTGCGGCCCTCTTCTACAAGTGCGGCCCAAGGCCTCCGCACGTGCGACTAGCCAACCAGCCCAGAAAATTTTCTTTCCTGACACACCGGACCGACTTCACACCCTCCGAAACAAATGAAACCCATCACCGCAACGAACAATGATAGAAATTTCGAGGAGAGTTTCCGAATCACCAAAAACCCAAAAGATTAACAAGACTCTAAGTGAAACTTGACACACTAACGAAGCAAAAATCGAAGTTAAACAAAAGGAACAAGATGGATAACACACCGGGTCATCACATCGAGCGTGAGACTAGACACTCGAGTGTCCAATGCACACTTCTAGTATTTCAGACCTGCAAAAAGAAATACTAAGAGTTGATGAATCCCGCTCGAGCGCAAGAATGGCCGCTCGAGCGGAGGAGCAAAATTTGTGAAGCCCACTCGAGTGCAAGAATGCCCACTCGAGCGGAAGAGCCAAAATCTGGGCAATTAAAGGTTTTGAAAAACAAGCAACCAACCTATTCCAAACGCACAACCATAACCGGAAGGCCAATTTTTAAAGGGATACAAGGGGAACAAGAGGTAAATAACAGTATGAAAGCATTAAACCCGAGTTCGGAATACAATAGATAACGAGTCAAAACCGGAATCGCTATATTTAACCCCATTTGCACTTCTTTCATTTGGAAAATTCTCCCGCGTGTAATGCACAGTGTTTATAACTTTATCATAAAATTATATAAATTGAACATAAATTTACATAAATTCGTGAAAACTTACTTTTATGAATAAACTTATACGAATTTGTGTTCAACTTATGTATTTTTATGAGATTATTTATGTAAATTCGTAAAAACTTATATAATTTTATAATAAAATTACATACGATATACATTGCAACTAGGAGCATTTCACTTTCATTTTCCAGGAACATTTCCCTTTCATTTTCCTTTTCTTGTCATGATATTCCACTCCGACCTCTTCTGTCGAATCTTACTTTTGACACTTTTTATTATTTTTTTTATTTTTTTATTATATTAATATTTTGAGTGATGCTACATCTCCTAATTTTATCTCCTTAATTTCACCTCTAATGACGTGGATCACCCTCATATGAAGCGCTCCTACACTCCTCTCCTTTTCATCTTTAACGTTTCTAATTCCACATCTTTGAGGGTGGAATTAGGGACACAAAATGATAGGGAGATGAACCATTATTCTAATACTTTTTCAAAATTCTTTTTTAAAATTTACAAAAAATTTCACTTATTTTTTAATTCCAAATAAAATTAATTTTCTTTCAAAACACGATTTAAAAAAAAAAAGAAAAAAAGAAATAAAACAAAATTTCAAATATTTTTAAAAAACTAATTGACCTAAAAAAACACAACGTTTTAAAGTTTTTTTTTTTTTTTTAAAAAAACAACAATTTTATGAAATAGTATGAATTTAAAAAATAAATTCAGAATAATTTTAAGATTTAAAAATACATAAAATATTGTGAATTTGGTAAAAAAATAAAAATAAAAATACCCACTTTCTCGTAAATCATAAATCAACATATTCTCCTTGTCATTCTTTGAAAATTTTCCTAAACTAATTGAAGTAAAAGACACGACTTTGAATTTAAAATTATATATTCAAAATAGGGATTTTCATTGATAAATCTCATTTAGAAGTGTTTTAACCTAAGAAATCCATAAAGGAATTTTTTAACCCACATAGTCCCATGTATTTATACTTTTATTCCATAAATTCTTTTTTCTTGATTTACACTATTTTCTTAGACTCTTATGTCCTTATATTTAATATTGATATTTAATGTTGGGGAGGAGAGAAAAGGGAAAGGACTAAGGTATAGGAAATTTCATATACAAATTAAATAACATTGATCTTATTATTTTATATTATTATATAATGTGAATATATTTTTAATTGACAACATATTAAAAATAATGTAAACATTTTCTCTCATCTGATGTGAACCTTAACATCACCGTTATCATAACATCATCTGATGTGAACATTCACATTCACGTCATTAGATACGGTCATGTTTATATTTGAATGAAAGTTGAGACTTGTGATTGTGTAATTTGATGCAATGTTGGTGTGAACCTTAACATCACCTTTATCACAATATCATTTGATGTGAACATTTACATTCACGTCATCTAATATGAACATTCACGTCATCACGTACAGTTAACATTTGGATGCATGAGAACTATCAAAACATAATGACAATCAATAAAGAACCATATTTAATTTTTTGTGTGTAATACATATATATATATATATCAACATTAAATAGTGGTGTGTAGTTAATGTATTTTTTTGGAGTGAAGATATGGGGAATAAGAATAGTCATGGGAACTACCAAAACATAATGACAATCAACATTAAATATTAACATTAATGGGGGTAGGAGAGATTGAGGGTGTTTTAGTTTTCTTACCTCAAATAGGACCTAATGGAATAGTTAAAAAGAATATGGGTTGAATGGAATAAAACTCTTAGAAAATGGATTTATCAAAAAAGCTCCCAATTAGCTCCCGCTTTAAAAATATGATTTACAAAATAACATATATATATATATATATATAAATAAATTCAAAATGACTTTAGTGAAAGCCTTTATAATACTAATACGTTCATCTTAAAAAGGAAATGTACCATATGTGCAATTATAATTTTTATAATTTTTTGTCATGATTTGTACATCATTGGTTATAATTAGGCGTGCAAATTTGGCCCAACCTATCATCCGGCCTAGCAAGCTTTCACAAAAATCGAGCTGAGCCGCGCCAGTCCACTTGTGCAAAATGTCGGTTTAAGCCTAAGTCAAACCCAAACCCAAGCCCATATGGTACTCAAGCCTTGAGCCGGGCCGCTAGGCCTCGGCTCGAGCTTGGACGAGCGTGGATCGGGTCTGACTGTTTTTTTATTTGTTTTCACCAAATTTTTATTTTTTTCACAAAAATAACTTGAAAATGATATTGGGCCTTGAGTGGGCCGCGTGGGTCAGACTGGTGGCCCAAGCTTCAAGCCGGATTAGGCCTCAAAACAAACACGGCTCAAGCCCATATTCACGGACTAGGTCAAGCTCCGGCCTGGATGAACTGGGCTGGGCTCAGGCCTAGATGAACTGGGCTGCTCCAAACCATGATCAGGCTTTAGGTAGACCGTTTGCTGTGGGTCAATTTTCACCCCTAGTTATAAACTTAGTTATTTTGGTTCTGATCGAACACTTTGGTTCCTAAAGTGGTATTTAGTTATGACCCATTTTGATATTGGTTATGAACTCATTGTCATTTTGGTTATGATTTATTGTGATTAGTATTTTATTTATGATTGACAAAAAAAAATCGTTATGTCTCAAGTGACATTTAATTATGATTCATTAGATATATCTTTTTAATTATGACTTAAAGTGGTTTAGTTATGGTATTTATGTTATTAATACCACAAATGATCATAACTTGCAAAGGATTGCAAATGGGCCCCATTTTTTCAAGTTTTGTGTGGAATTTTTGACTTTAAACTCAATTATTTTAACGATACTATTTCGTACTTTACCCTAACCTTGACAATTTTGACTTACCTACTTTATTACTTTACCTTGTCTTATCAATACTTTCCCAAACAAATTATTAAAATTGGGTGGGAATCAAATATAATCGGATTGGGTAATTTTGTTATCCCACCTAAAAAAGTGTATATTATAAAATGACCTAATTAAATTTTAGAATTATGTGAAATATTATGATTTTAGTAAAAAAAAATAAAAATCCCCCCTTTCTCAGCATCTTCGTTCCCATGCTCATCCAGCACTTTTCCCCCACTTTTCTACTCCCTTTCATTATTATTTATTGTTTTTATTTTTTTGATTACCCCCAACTATTCCTAGCAGCTTCTTCCATGACCACAATGTCTACCCATGGAATCTCATTTACATTTGTTGCAAAGATAATTTTATGTACAAAAAAAGCATTGTTAAATGGCTAACAATCATATTTAAGTCTCGTTTGTCAATTATATATTTTAGTCAAAAAGTCAAAAAATCACTATAAATTGTTATATCACTTTCTTTACTTTTCTACACACTTTTTATAAAAATTCAAAAAATTACTAAAACAACATGTTCCCAAACGGGCCTTACTCAAAACGTCTATTCACTCACTTTGAAGCTTCCAGTATAAATCATAAATCAACAGATTAAATTATGGTAGCATTAATCTTGAGGTGGAACTGTCCCATAGCCTAACACTTCCAACAAAAGCTCTCTCTCTCTCTCTCATGTGTCATTAGTATATTGGATCTGACTCCTCTCTAGTCGTTATCGGACTGAAAGGTGTTGTTGGTTGTTGTGGGCTCTGATGTGGGCACATCTTGATAATTCAAACCATTAAATGTGTAGAGCTTGTCGTGTATATTATTTTTGCAAAAAAAATTAAGTTGATCGGATATTGATAGACATATTCATTAAATCACATTTATGTCAATGACAAGTGTAATTTTCAAAAATAAATTGTGACATTAATGTGATCTGATCAAGAGGCTGTCGATATCCGATGATTGTGATTGTTTGCAGGAATGAAGTAGTAGACGGGCTCTACAACAAACTATGGTTTGAATAATTGAAATGGGCTTGAATTTAGACCCAAAACGGTCGAAATAGTACCCTCCATTCCAATGACAAACTAAAGAGGAGCGAACTCATGATGTATATGAGTATAATATCATAAAATGCATCATGAAAATTTTTCGTCATTTGATTAGTGTATGGTGTTTTATTGTATGTGTAATCCAAAGGTGGAGAATCTTTCATAATCATTTTCATGATATTTTTTTCATGATTCCTAATATTACTCTACGTATATGTAGCAGAGGAGTCGAGCCACTATGAGACGAAGGGGGCACGTGCCTTTAAAATATTATTTTTAAGTATATTTGTTTGATGTTGTCAATTTTCTCCCCTAAAATTATATATATGCTCTAAATGTTCTTCTTTCTTCTCTCAAGAAACTCAATACACCATCAATTAGAAGTGGATATAGATTGATTCTTTATTTG